TGGACAGTTTCAGTTGAGATAATTAGCTTTTGCTTGCTGAGAAATCTACTTCGGTTATTCTTCACTTTGCCTGTTAAACACAGGGTATATTTCTAGGCCAGAATAAATGTCTCATTCTGCATTACTGAAAATTACGTTTCAGGCTTCAGTTTCTCATTTAGAGGCACTGCTGTTAAATCCTGTCAAAGCATTGTTACGTGCATAGTACCAGCAAAGCCATGTGTGTAGTTGCCTAGTGAGCTAACCCAGATTGAGAATAACCTAACAGAAAAATTATTTGGTGTAGTTTACTGTTTACCTGCAGTAACAGCTCTGCTTATATGATACAAAGGGAAGCACACAGGTGAGAACAGACTGTTAAGGGTGAAACTGTTAATGAATCACCTTAGAATTGCACATGAGCTGGGACTGCGTCTCGGAAGAAATGTAGGTGGAATAGCACACAAGGGAATAGTAATATCATCACATTTGCCTGCCACCTTTCTACGTATTTATGAGTTTTATGGTTTAAGATTACCACATATTATTACGCTGTTAAATTATTATAGGTAAAATTTTCTAAAACTGGAGTTTATTTTAAAAGAGCTAGGAATCTGAAGTAAGTATAGTGTGTAGTTTAAAAATAGAATAAAAATTATATATCATTCAGGTAACTCATACTTTCTTTAGAAGGAATGGCTAGTTTCAAGAGCAATCAGTAATATGTTCTTATTTTATTAGGCAAAAAAAATTGTCTTTAAAATTGTGTAGATAATTTTTTAATTGACTTTCAGTTTAAGTCAATATTACAAGACAATCTGTTACCCAAAAATAATTACAAAGGCCTACTATCAATAACACCCACTGAATCTGTTCTAACCTCTTTCACAGTGACAATGAAGAATGTAAATTTGGAGTGTTTCACTTTCTGTTAACATTTTAATATTTTCTCTGCCTGACTTCACAAAAATATTTTCACAATCTTTTCCCAGTATTTCCCAATGCAAGCTACTGTGTTTGTATATGCAATAGACATTGCCAAAGGCATTGCAGATTAATTTTATTTGAACAGTGTAATACTTTTGCAACAGCAAAAACATCAAACAGCTTTTAAATCATTACTAGTAATTGTCTTTTATAAGTACTGTATTTTCAGATCTTACAGCCACAAAGCTGGCCACTTCAGTTCCATGGATAAAATTATTTTAAGGGTTTTTATGACGGGCTTCCAGGACTTCATGCTCCAAAGGCAGACTGTCCAAAACATCCAGCCATTACAGAAATCTTTTTTTCAAATGTTGAAGATGTTTATATGATGATACATTGTGCGTTTTATCATTCTTGTTTGTTATAAGATGACATTATTTTCCATTTGCAAAGCTGAGATATGACCTGGAATTTTTTGGATTTCAGAATCTACATAGATTTGTATTGTTTCCACTTTAAATGTTACAAGAAACAGGTTAAGTCTTTCTGTGTCCAATGTTTGAATCTAGAATTAGTTAACTGAAGTTTTTCTGAGTCTTGAAGCTGTCATCCATAGGACTTTCTTACAGCCAGTACTTACAGTTAGTCAAGTCTTTTGTGCTAGGTTTCTGTAAAGCAATGTTAGGCAATTTAATTCCCTCCTCTTTTACTTCTCTTACCCAACATGAAACCACCTTGGTAAGTGGAGTGAGAGCTTGAAGTTTGCTCTTAACTGCTGAGGTTATTGCTTCCAGCCTGAGCTCCTGTCTCAGGGGCAATTAAAACTGAAGTACCACCTTGTTTGTGTTGGGTTCCATTGCAGGGCACAACCTTAAAATGAAACAAGAAGTGATTGTGGAATGGCAAATCCCCTTTCCATCTCAGAGAAACAGCAAGTGGCAGCAAGAAGCCCATGGGCATTTGCATCAGGCACAAAAGTGTTGCCAGCAGGTCGAGGGAGGCCGTTATTCCCCCCTACACAGCCCCGGGGAGATGCATCTGTAGTGGTGGGTCCAGTTCTGAGCTCCCAGTACAAGAAAGAGAGTCCAGTGGAGGATGCAAAGGTGGTTAAAGGCTTGGAGTACCTGGCACAGAAGGAGAGGCTGAGAGAGCTTAGGATCGCTCAGCCTGGAAAAGAGGAGGCTCATGGGGGATCTTTTGTATAAATACTTGAAGGAGGACAGGTGGATGAAGCAGATAAAGCAGAGCTCAGTGATGCCCAGTGACAGGACAAGAGGCAATAGCCACAAAACTAATTACAGGGAGTTCCTGTAATTAAGGAAATTAAGGAAACATAAGAAAATGGTTTGAGGTTTGGTTTTGGTTTGGTTTGTTGTTTGGTTTTTTTATTTATGGTGGAGGTGGTCAGGCGTTGAAACAGGTTGCCCAGAGAGGCTCTAGAATCTCTGTCCTTGAAAATACTCAAAACCAAACCGAGCAACATCCTGAGCTACCTGTAGTAGTTGACCATGTTCAGAGCAGGAGAGTTGAATTAGATGATCTCCAGAACACTCTTCTAACTTCTATGCTAAATGTTTAGCATTTCCAGTGGTTATTACCTGAGTTATTCTAAGTGTAAACAGTAGGGAAGTTAGACACATCAAACGGTAAATGATCTTTAAGAATTCATCATTTTTGTGTGATAAAGATTCCCCTTTCTCCCTCACTCCCAACGTTAAGACCTAATCTAAGATGATCCTTTTGTTCTATAGTTGTTTAGAATTTTTACTCCTTTAGGATTATATGACTGGGAAAAAATACTAGGATTTAGTTCAGGAATTCAGTATTTTGGTCTTTTTAAAGTATTGCCCATTTCTAATATAATCTGAAAATCTACATAAGTAGTTTTTATTATTTCTTATAAAGTAGGTTTATATGCCAGTGGATTAATAAAATTATTTCCATGTTCAGAGCTTGTATTGTTTAGTTTTTAACACATTATTTTCTGGGGACATTTTACGGTTTCAGAAGATTTATAGGGCTGCATTTAATGACAGTTTCTTTTGCCTGCTCTGGAGCACGTGCCATGGTGGTTTTAAGTGTACTGTGCATGTTTGACAAGTTAGAAACTTAGCAATCTCCATCAGTGCTGAGCCATACTGTCTCAGGCTTTGTTTTTGTTGGCCGATATCCAGTACCATGCTATAAAATACATTTACTTGACAGTAGAAAGTAGAGAACCACATTAACTACAAAGTTTAAAAAGGCTGGCTAAACACATGCAATAAATATTAATAAAAGAAAAGGCCACCCACCTTTGACCTTCAATACTTGTTATTAGCTTTGTGTGTTTTAGAGTTACTGTGGCATTTTGAGCATTACATAACAGTATGTAAGAATGTCTTATTTAAACCAACAACTTGTTAGGAAGCCTGTGTTGGTTATTTTGGTCGCTTGTGGCAGGGATTGTGGACATAATGCATTATCAGAATTCTATGTTGCACTTCAGAGTTACCTGTAAAAAGATTGTTGTCCTTTAGTTGTTTCGTAATAAGCAAACCAGGTTTATTTGTACATGTAAGTAATTGGGAAGATACAGTTTTATATGTATATCTATGTAGAAGGAGAATGTTTTACAGAGGAGCCTCGTAAAGAATGGTCAGTTGATTCATGTAAACTTACCTCACTCAATTTTTCTTCTTAAACAAGAACACAAAGCAGAAAAACAGCTCAGAAAGGAGTCATCCTTCAATTTTTTTCAATATTTTTTGTTACGTGCCTCATAATATTCAAAAAAATGGGATTTGGACCAAACCAGAAATAGTACGGAACATGAAATGGGAAGTGATTCAGGAGTCACTAGAACTGATACATAACCATTCTCTTCCAGATTAGATGGTTCTCATGTCGCAAGTTATAGACTTCTATTACACCCCTAGTTATATTGTAGCTTTGCAGTATTTCTCTTGTTAAGACATTAGTGGTTCCCATTTTGTGAATTTCATGTGCTGTATTATGTGTAAAAAAAAGTGTGTATATATATAGATACTTTAATGATAGATGAATGATAGTGGTTGAGTATTGAATTATTAATTCACTTGGAGAAAAATCCGTTCCTGGCTTCTGAGAAAGAAGAAGTAGTAAGCTGGGAGGGGGAAAAGGGCCAGAAAAATGAGTATTGTTCAGTGAAATACTAACATGATGATGCATCCTGCTAGCTCTGGATACATTTATTACATAGGTAACACACACTGTTAAGACCTGTCTTCACTCGGAGAGTATCCCTTTAAAGAGTTACTATCTCTCAAAAATAGATCCTTTTTTTCCCTCAGTTAGTCAGATGCACATACAAATTTTGTGTTTGTGTTAAGATGTGTTGTCATTCGTGGTAGATTGTGCCCACTTCTTTGGTGCTCTCAAGTCAGAAGCTTGCATTTTACAGAGTTTCTGTGCTGGCCTGCTGAATCAGACTGAACTCAGTAATCACATGGAGATTCAAAGTCACACGGAGAACCATGCTGTGTGTATAAAAGAACAATACTCTTAATGTCTGAAAATTAGTTTCTCTGCTGACCAGAAGGGTGACAGAGCTGTGAGACATTGGCTTCGAATACCAAGTTCTTCTGGGTGTTGTGGGGAAGAAAGAACGAAGAGTGAAAATCAGCTACTCCTTTGTTTCTGCAGTCAGTGAGTGAAAGGTCAGCACTGTGTGAGAAGAAGGGGAAAACAGATAAAGTAAAGAACAGGGAAGAATTAAGAATTAAAAATAAAAATGCAAAAGTCATGAAAGCCTGCACTGCTATATCTGAAGCACTGCATTGTTCTCCTTCAAATCCCTATTTAGCTTTCCCTTTCCGTTATGCCCACGAAGACCTTGGAGGTTATCACACGGCCACCAATTTGTGATTTCTTCTCTGCCTACATCCATGTGTTGTCACTTCTTTTACATTGTATTCTGCTCTGGAGAGGAACTTTTATTCATTCACATATTCATTCATGTGCTTAAGCTTGTTCCTGCTACAATGTGACTTTGATCCACTACTTGACAATATGAATATTAATTCTAAGATCTAGATGAATGACCAACTAACTATGAATATGTTGCTTTATTTTAGAGTGTTGTGCGCTGCCTTTGGCATCCCAAGCTGAACCAGATCATGGTTGGCACAGGAAATGGTTTGGCCAAAGTGTACTATGATCCTGTCAAAAGCCAGAGGTACATAATCATGATTAATGATTAAGAACATCTTTTTTTTCCTCAAATATAGCCTGATTCTGTGGTTCTATGATTATGCTAAGAAATGAGAAAAACTGGTTTAGTAACATTTGTCTTGCAGAGTTTTACTTACTTAGTAACAGTAGAAAGAACAAAACCAAACCAAACCAGTTCATTTCTGAAAAGCGGTGCATTTTCCTCTGGGCTTTTCATGGTGCAGTATGCTGGCTGTTCTACCTGAATTTACACACACTTTCATTTTTTTAATTGCATGAAATCTGCAGTAAGAATAACCAACCTTTCATCTAATCTCTTGGAGACAGCTCATGTGGTGTTATTGAAAGGATATTAATTGTATGTAGTCATATTTTTTGATGTCTTTTTTTCTTTTTTTTCCTGAAGTAAAAATTGTTTTTAGAAGCATTAGCTTAAACTTCAGTGTCTGTGAAGTAATAATAAGAGACCCAGTTTGAGAGGGTGCACACCAAGGAAGCACATTACCATCTTTCTGCTAGTCTTCTCCCCAACCCCCACTTATCACGTGTGGGTTTTGCCTGTAGATCTAATAGAAAGGTGGTGGTGATTCTTCAGAGGATGACTTGTCAACCTGGAATGAAAAGGAGAGCACTTAACTAGTCTATAAGTACTTCTTTCGCAATTAATTTGCTTTTATCATCTGGATTGGCTGGAGAACTGAGGCATGCTTCCTTCCAGTCACCAAGGGGGGAAATGTACACTTCACCTATGCTGAGTGGTATGAATAAGATGCTCTTCCCCTATATGCATTCATCTTTGTTTCACTGACATCCAAAAACATTCTGTGTTACAGTTCACAGTGTCTGGATGCTTACTGGGACTGGACACTTGGATGTGAAGATAAACCTTGGTTTACAAGATTATCAAAATTAAGTTTTATTTTTCTGGTCTTTGTCAGTTTAGACAAGAGAGTTGGTCATCATTGTTTGGACCCTTCTCTAGAGGGCAGCCTGAGTCTCCCAGTCATACACCTCAAGAGCCCTAGCTCAGCTCTGTGCCCAGTTTGTTTCCTGATACTTATCATGAGGAGGAAAATACCACCAGTTTAAATCAGTCTTGCTGCAGCCAGGCTTATGCAGGCTTTCCTGCTGCAGTGTTACAGACACCTCTGGTGAGAAACTGCCACCTCTGCTGCTTAGGAAGAGTACTAGGAGCAAATCATTGCCATGTTTGGAGAGGAGCGCTTCCAGTGTGCATGCTGCAAGTACTGTGGACAAATGAAGTGTGAAATGAATCTTCCACCTCTATTTCCGCATGTCATATAAACTGCTCTATGACAGAAACGCTAATCTCTCTACTGTCCTTCACATGTGCGTGGACGGGCAGAGATACATGTATTTGTGAATATTTAAAGTGCTATATAATTTTGTTGAGACTGTGTCTTGAATAAAAACTGGTTTCTGTATGATATAAACAGACCAACTGAACTGCTATATATTTCCTCCTAGGGGAGCAAAATTATGCGTGGTCAAAACAAAAAGAAAAGAGAGACAAGCAGAGACTCTTACACAGGATTACATTATAACACGTAAGGAATTTAAATGTATCTTTATAGCAGCATCCTTAGCTCTTTCTCAGGTTTGAAATTATTTGCAGATCATTTAGCTTTATATTTTTCCCTGTAAAGCTGTGATCTTTCGTTAAGTATTGATCATTGGTGTGGGATGTTAGTGCTTCATACAAATTGTTTTGTAGCCTTGCACAAACAGAAAGGTATATATTCTGTAAGTTCTGTGAAGTTGTTAATAATGGTTGGTTTCTAGATTCTGATGCACCTGAAAGCCTGAAAGGACAACTGCCTTAAAAAAAAGCAAGCAAAAAAACCCCGCCAAAAACAAACCATCCAAAACTTTGGAGCTTTCTTAAATCTTCAGTTTTGCACAACTAGATTGGGGAGTGTAGATTGGTTTTGGAAGTGTTTTGCCACTTGGGAACATTAACAGTACCAGTGACAAAATCAGAAATATTAGAGATAGGTCTTGAACAAATTCCAAGTGATTTTTCAAAGTTTAGTACTTGCCCAGAGTTATATGGAGTTTTAAATAGCTTAAATACCTCTGTAGCCTCAGGATTATACTATAAGACCATATGTTCATACTAAGGCTCACTGATCCATAAGAAATAGTTATCATTGTTACTATAAAATGTTTAGTGATCTGCCTTTTCCCAAGGGCAAATTTTGCAAGGGGATGAGGGGATTGACTGAGAGATTTTGGCCTTCCCCATTAATATTGCCTTACGTAGTGTTTCCTCATGTGAAATGAGAACAGTCATACAGTTGTGCTGTCCTGCTTCTCTTCATTCTCCTCCAGTTCCACAGTGTTTGGATTCAGCTCTGTTTTCCAGTAGTCTTGGTGTTAGAAATAGCTAAAATAATTTCTGTAGAACAAAGTAGTTGTTTGGCAGCATAGTAAACAAAAAGAAATTTTAGAATGATAAAATCTGGTTAGTCTTGGTACTCAGGCTCATATCAAGGCACTTTGTTTCTGAGTTCCTATCTCAGGTACTTTCCAGCCACAGCAGTCTCCTACTTACCTCACTGCTGCAGATGTCCAGCTCCAGTTTTTGGGTATCAGTGGGTAAAGTAGCAGCTGGCAAATATCAGGGATATTTATCTCCCTGGCGTGCTCTTCTCAATTCATCCTTACTACAACCTTGACTGTATCAGCACATGGTTTATTACCTAAATACTTTGTGTGCACTGTTGTTAGTGTTTATCCCGTACAAAGCTTTTGTGATGTTTTAAAAAACTTTCTGCTTAAAATCCAGTGGAACTTGTGTATTCAATGGCATTTATAAATGCCATTCAAAGATTTAGGACCCAGTTATGCAAAGTTTTGGAATTTTATCACTGAGTTTTAGCTGTTGAACTGTTTCTTCTACATAATTTTGAAACTATATAAGGATACGTCCATATAAAGCAATGCAAAAAAACGTTGTAGGGATCTGCTTTGCGAATTTTTATGTTTGTTGTGTATTTTGGAAACTTTTCAGAGCTTAAATGTCTGTCTTCTAAGCTTACAGATAGAACTGGAAAGAACCAAAGATCTCAGAAGTCCTTTTGCAAAGTGAACTGACCCCTTTTTCCTTCTTCTCTTTCTGCCCGCCACCACCTTGCCCTACTTCAGACTTCTAGCTGCTCTTTAATCTCAGAATTTCGTGTAGTGGCTATTTAAAATGCAGGAATCTTGTTTTGAGGGATTAGGTATTACTTTTAAAACACAGGAATACCCAATTTGGGTTTCACTTAGGCAACCTTGACTCCACAAATGTCAAAAGCTTGAATCTGTGCATTATTGACCTCAGATTCTCTATGCAAACCAATGAAGCATAGTGCTTGCCAGCAAATTATCCCAGACATTTCATACTTCATGAAATCTGCAGAAAATAAAACCTAAATATTTATTTCCAAAGATCTATTGCTGGGTCACCTGGCTGTGATTTCACTCAGTTTAACAAATTGAGCAGGCTTCCAGAAACAAGCTGAAAAATCAAACTGGTAGGTCCCTGGATGCTGCCTTCGCATTTTTTCTTCAATGTAGAGCCAGTGCCCCTAAATTTAAGATTTGGTTGGGTAAATTTTGTCCTTGTCGGGTCTTTTGACCTCAAGCACAATTTCCCGCATTTTATGAAACAGCAGCAATCAACACACCTGAATGTGAGAGCTAAGCCTCACCACAAGAAAACAGTGTCCCTTAACATGGTGTTTCTGTGTTGCTGTCAAATGTGTCTCTTGTCCAAGCAGACCAAAACCATTACTGTGATTGAAGATACTGTAGCAGGTTTATGAAGAAACGGAAGTTTTAAATCCTGGCAATTTAACCAGATTGTCTCAGTTACAAGTATTCTTGCAACCTTGATTAATCTCATCATTTAAGAACGAACATGATTGTGACTTCGTATGCAGAAACATTACATTTTTGATCATTGAGGAGATTCCACCCCTCTGTTTCAGATCCACGAATGCATCTAGGATTTTGTCATGCTCTTAGTATTAGAGTATTAGAAAGCTGTAGAAACATGTAAAGTTCAGAAAAGAGCAACTGGTTGGTCACAATGCTAATGTTGAGAACTGAATGACAGAGGAATAAATTAAATATGCATAAACTGTGCAAACAGCATTTCAGATGAAAGACTCCTGCCTGAAGGAACCCTAGAAATCTGACTGCTTTCATCTTTGAAAAATTCAGCAGAAAGAAGCCCTTTAAAATACACCTCAGTAAACCACTGCTTGGATATAGAGGAACTGGGAGGCCACTTCTGCCACCTTTTCCATTGCAAGGAAGAATTGCAGTCTTTGTAATTAAAACCTTAAAAAGAGAATGGAATTTCTAACATTTCTTTTTCTCCAAACTGTGACCCTTCAGCCCATGCACTTCCAATGTTCCGTGAACCACGGCAGCGAAGCACCAGGAAACAGCTGGAGAAGGATAGGCTGGACCCCATGAAGTCTCACAAACCTGAACCTCCAGTAGCAGGACCAGGTAATCTAGGCATAGTCATTTCAGACTATCTTATGCCAAAGGGACAGTCATGCTTGGGTTCTACTCTTGTTTGGATTTACATTCAAACTTTTTTGGGTGGCAGCTCTACTATATATGTATGGGCAGTGTCCAACACTGTAAGACATTGATGTTTGATTGGAGTACTTGCCTGGAATAAATTAATTATCACAACGGCTTACTTTAAGTTACATAATCAGTAAAACACTTATGTGAATGCAGCTCTAAATCAGACTCTTCCTATAGTAATAACTAACTTCTTTGTATCGGGTCACTGTTACAGACACAATGCAACATTACTCTGTTTACTTCTTAAATGTTTTTGTCTAAAATACTTTTTCTTTTTTTCCTGCAGGTCGTGGTGGGCGTGTTGGAACTCACGGAGGTACCTTATCATCATATATAGTCAAGAATATTGCACTGGATAAGACAGATGATAGCAATCCTCGAGAGGCTATTTTACGTCATGCAAAGGAAGCGGAGGAGAATCCATACTGGGTTGCTCCGGCATATGCTAAGTAAGGAAATAATTAAAAATGCAAGTAATATTCTGGAGGCCAGTGGGAGTTTGGTAAAAATAGAAGACACACAATTTTAATGGTAGTCTTTGCCTTTTCTGGATTGCTGCCATAAATATATAAACCAAGAATGTACCATGTTCTTTTATGAAGATAAGAGTTTCCAGGAGGTTAAACTGTTGAAATTTGATGTTTCCATTTTTAAAATGTGCCTGTCAGTGCTAGAAAATTATTTTAAAGCTTTCTAAATTGATTAGAATTTAGAATCTTGTCCAAATCACTGTCTGAAATTGCAATACACCTTTTAATAAGATACTGTCCCATTGGCCGACTAGGACGCTAAGTTTTCCAATATGCCCTCTAGTTCTCACTGATTCTTAGGTTAAACCTTCAAAATACTTACTTGGTCTTATAACAGCATATTTAAATGATTTCTCGAATGTCATAAGTTTTTATTTGAATTTCTCCTACAGAAGGACCTGAGTACCTACTTGAATTAACTATAATTCAAGTTATTATAGTATTAAGGTACAGCAATATTAAAAATTGCACCAATGAAGTCTCCTACCAAAAATTCAACATAAAGCAATAAGTGTTCAGTTGTTGTTACATAAATTAAAAAGCCTCATCAAGATTATGGTAGTAAAATCTCAGAAATCCCACAGATGGTAATTTACTCAGTTTAAATTGTATGTGTGAGTGTGGTATTTGTGTATATGTGTTACAATAAAAATTGCGCAATATGCTTCTAGAATGCTTTCTACCAAAGATTTTTTTCTAAAAATTAATACAGTTCAAACCATTAAATAAATACAGTCACAATAGTACTAAAGTAAATAGTAAATAAATACATTTAAACCTAATGAACAGAAACTACCACTTTAAAAATTACTGAAATTTTCACATTTTGTTATTGATGTTTTTGTTACGCAAAATCATCTATCTAGTATAAATAGTATTTTCAAAATGCGTAAGGAAAAAGTTTTGAAGAGATGAAATAGTCTGCACAGAACAGTCTGCCAATAACAAACAATTTTTTCTTGTTTGCAGCCCAGTGTTTTATCTCCAAGGCTGTACATTCGTTAGTACTTTACTGACTGTACTTTCTTCATTAGTGTTTAGCTCTTTAGCAGAACAATCACCACCTCTTTCCAGAACCTCAAAATATATGAAGAATCATAGCTGTTTCTAGTGATGAGAGTTGTTTTCTGACTTGACCCACATGTTCAGAAAGGTAACTGAATAGCTGTTTCAAAGCAGCTTGAGAATGTCGGTGACCGAGCCTGGCTTTGACTGGGTAATTAGTAATTATGGCATACTGATAATTAATAAGTATGGCATTTGATGTTGTACATCAAATCAATGCGTTATACAGTATCACCCTTGGTACTGAAGAAGGAATATTTGAAAGCCTGATTTTGTAACAGTTGTTGTAATGAATATGTTGAATATTGATTTTTAAATTTTTTGATAGTTCACATTTGCTAGAGGTGAAATTTAGTTTGAATGTGTAGGCACCTGATTTTATTTGAGATATGCAATTATCCATTCTCAAAAGTAAATACAATCACACATTCCATCAGGTAGATAGACACCTCAGTGTATTTTTGGCTCAGTAACTTAATTGGTTGTATATTATGTTTCATCCCTGATACCTGCAATGTAGTAGACATGAAAGTTTTAAAACATAGCTGTATTACAGAAGGCTTACTGTGTCAGGTGGACAGATCTCATTACAGTTTCTTGTTAAAAATGTAGCTGCAGGGGAAGAAGAGAGCTGGCTGAGAAGTGGGGAGGATGCAAGTCCGAACTGCTATTAACTTACACACCAGACGGTGATATGTATGTGGGGGAACTGGACTGCAGCCAACAGCATGCTGCCTTGATGGTTTTGTCAGCTGATAAATCTCATGCCAGTGAAACTGCCATTATCCTTGCTTTTAAAGCTTGACTTTAAGATGTACTCTATGCAAAGAGCATTTTAAAAATTATTATTATTTTTATTACTGTTTTTGTTGTTATTGGCTAAGACACTGAAATACAAAAACTTGATTATTGTGTTATGTTCTTAATTTTCGGAAATGGACATCTATACTAACAGCTGCACATCAGTGGCAGTCATAGGTTTTGTTAGCTGTTTGCCTGCACACACAGATAATATAGAAAGCTGTGTTGATTATATCCTATATCTGACTTTACAGGGCATGTATGTTTACCCTGTATATAAAGCATTTTATAGATGTTCTTATGGATGCATATTTAATAATGTATGCAAATTACAGGTAAATGATATAAATTATCACATAATACTGAGTGGTAAGTGTGTCCTCGGTGGCCCTGTTAAAATCAGGAGTTCATAATAATGAGCAGTATACAAACCTAGAGAAACTGGCTGCTTTATCTATAGCATAAGATATGCTGTAGAGTTAGGAAAGGTGATATTCTGCTGCAACTTAGAATTACATACTGTCTGAGACCTGAAAAACATATATCCAGTATGTTTTGGGTTTTTAAATAGTGTTTGTTCTTTTTACTACTTTATTTCCTGCTAACAGCTTTTCCACATTTCTTGTAGTTAATTTTCACTTAAATATGGTATAAAACTATCCACTTGATGTATCTTGTATTTGACAAGGCTTTTGGTTTTGTGTTGTCTAATGGATGCTTATTCACTTACAGTTTTTCATTCTCCATCTTAAGAAAATGTCTAAGGAAACTATAGTTACTTAATATTCTTCAGTGATGTTTATTAAATAATTTTAGACTGAGAAGACTAAGAAATGCTCTTTTTCTGGTTGATCAGAGTTTTCATAACTCTGATTGTGATGACTGGGTTAGAGTTTATCTGGTCCTGCTTCATACTGATTAGGTCATTCTAAATCAGATAACTGATATCCTGCTTTTTTAATTGTATTTCCACTTCAATAATTCTTATAAAAAGTGCCTGTAACATGATTTTTGCTGTTAGTTTATACAATGTATGTAAAAATATGTCATTTTTGTTGGAGTTAAAGGTGCCTAATTTACTCTTGAAACCAAATACTCATTTATGTTATTTATATACTTGAAAATTTTTTCAAGCTTATTATCATTAGCCCGACCTTTCTCTTTCTCCTAAAATTTGAGCCAGAAAAGGAAGGGGATGTATGTAAGAGGCAAAAGGATGGGTGAAAAAACGGATGCTGCTGAAAGGGGTACTGGGGATGATGAGAAGTACGTGCTGAATCAGGAGATGACATGTCACAGAAGCCCAATGTGAATAAAGTGTCAAAAAAGATAGGAGATCAACACAGCAGAAAAGTCATAATGCATGAGGATAAAGAAAAGATCTTGAGATTTTTCAGGAAAAAGCCCTTTAAAGACCTTGGCAAGAGCCATTCCGTGGAGTGAAAGAAAAGGAAGGACAGATTGAAGATTTCAGATGAAGAACTACAGGAAAGGAACTTGAGGCATCAGTTGTAAATGTTTGAAAATTACATTCTTTGTGAGCTGTTTGTTTTAACACAGCTGTACAGAGATACTGTAATGACTTCAGATGTCCCTCTGAAGGATCAGCAGGAATTACTAAGCATTGTAGCTGAGGTCCTAATCAGACCTAGATAAGCTCTCTTCTGTCCCATAGGGAAACTGAGGGTGAAATTTCCCTCCCTACCATGACAATCAAAGTTCTTAGAAAACACCTTTCAGTTCAGTGATGTTGCCCCTGTTTTGCTGTCCTAGTCATTGCTGCTTGTCGCAGGTAAAAGGGAATGACTTGAAGCAACAGCCTAGCCTGTAGCTGTGCTCTGTTCGCTGAAGTTTTTCTTAATGGCAGTACCAGTGTGTGAAGTGTTAGTCATGTAGTGGCTCAAGTATCTTTCGCTGAAGACACAAAACTGAACAGAATGTTTTGTAACAGTTATTTTGTTGGCACATGTTGGTATATTTAAGCTAAATCTTTTTTGGAAATGGGTAATTTTGAGAGGGAAGCCCCTGAAATTCAGAGAAGACTCAGGTTGGTTGATGGGGTCAGGGCTTCAAAGGGGCCTGATGCTGAAAACCTTCACTTTTCAGTCTGGAAGTAGCTTCTGTGACATTATCCTCATTTCCAAGCATGCTTCAAAGTCTTCCTTTTTCTTTGTTTCAGTGCAATATAAACAGAAATTTCAAAGTTTACTGTGACATGAGTCACATGCTATGAAATGCAGTTGTCATCTCCAGCTGGTTTAGCTGTAGCAGTATTTGTTTTAACTGCTAGTTTATGAACCTCAGATGTCAATGAGCTACTTCTATTGGATCCCTGAAAGGTAACTAAGAAAAGCAACCCATAACCAGAGGGATTATGGTGACTCTAAAGCAGTTTGCATGGCCCCTGGAAATTTTTTAGGGGGTCTGCATATCTGAATAAGTTGAAAACCACTGAAATAGAGAAGCAGTCAGTATGAATAAATCATGTTAGTTTGTTTTCCCATTTTTATTTGCAGCCTGTTAGTGTAACCCACAATAGGAATGCTTTTGTTGGTATATGAGATACTGGTTTCAGCTGACAGTCATGTGGAAACACAGGGTTGTAGAATAATTTAGGTAGGAAGGGACCTGTGGAGGTCACCTAGTCTAACCTCCTGCTTAAAGCAAGTTCACTTAGATCAAGTTGCTCAGGTGCAGTTAGATTCAGGTTATTCAGGGACTTGCTCAGCCAAGTTTGAATATCCTCAAGGATGGTGATTCCACACCACCTCTCTGGGCAGCCTGTTCCAGCAGTCTGGTTGGCAGTCATAGTATCCCTTGTTAAATCCATGCTGACTATTCCCTTATCACCTTCTTGTCCTTCATGTGCCTGGAAATGCCTTCCATGGGGATTTGTTCCATAGCCTTCCCAGGGGCTGAGGTTAGGTAGACCATCCTGTAGTTCCCCAAATCCTCCTCTTGCCCTTCATGAAGATGATGATGTTTGCCTTTTCTAGTCATCGAGCCCCCAGTAACCATGACCTCTCAAAGATGACAGAGTGCCCTTGGAATGACATTGGCCAGCTAACTCGGTACCTTTGGATCCGTCTCATCTGATCTCATGGATTTGTGTATGTCCAACAAGCTATGTACTCCCTGTCTGTCATCCTCTTCTGTTGGTAATGACTCACTCCCTCCCAAAGAGTCTACTGGTAGTGGTAGGGGTCCCCGGAGACCTGAGGACAGACCTTCTCAGGGAAAACACAGCCAAAAAAAGCACCAAGCATCTTGAGCTTTTCCTTATCCTACATTAGTGGGTTATCTACCCCCGGAGCACCTTTTCCTTAGCATTCCTTTGACTGTCAGTGTAGCTGTAGAAGCCCTTAGTGTTGCCTTTCACATTTCTTTTCAGTTTCAACTCCAGCTGAGCTTTGGCTTTCCTAACTCCATTCCTACATGTCCACGTAATGCCTCTGTTCCTTTTGGCTAAGGCTGTCCCTGATTCCTCTGTCTGTGTTCTTCCTGTTTGGGGTTTTATCTCAGTCAGGAGATCCCTGCACATCCACACAAGGCTTCTGCCAGACTTTCCTTTCCGCACACAGGATAGAATGTGTTTTTAGGAGGTTGTCCTCAGTGGTCACCCCGCTCTCCTGGGCCCCTTTGCCCTACATGGCAGTCTCCCATGGGATCTGCCAAGCTGATCCCTAACAAACCAAAATCAACCCTCAAAGTCAAGGATAAATAAAATTGAGAAAGTTGGTGGAGAAAAAGAACACAGCTCTCCACATGTATTATTTAGCCCTCAGAAATAAAAATATTTTGAAGTAATAAACCTGTGCTGATAATTTTTGTATAAATATTAATCATGCGGCAAACTCATACTATACTAGCAATCTCTAGTGCAGTTACTAAGCAGAACAATGTGTGCTTAAATTAAATGATCGCTCCTGATAATGCTATAACAAAAACAGTGTTTTCTATGCTTGTATCTTTAAAACGGTCAGACATATGAATCGCCCTAGGTGCCCCACTTACCACTGTGTAGCTTGTGGAGGTGGAACAGTTTACATTTCAGCTAATCTGAGGCTACAGCCATTTCATGGTAATTTATAAAATGAGATAGCAAGCAGACTTTATTTCCTCTGTATGGTTTTGCTTTAGCTAGTTACTACTAGACTGTGCTACAGTTTCTTTTTTTTTTTTCTCCCCCCACACCAGCCCAGCTTTACTGGGCTCAGTGGTATACTTACATTAGCTGAAGTCTGTAACTTTTCTCTGTGCCACTCGTGTCCTGGAAAATACGTAGCTTCTGCTGCTTGTTTCACAAGTGAAGTCATTCTTCTTGGTTGGAAGTTTCTAAGCCAAATTGTGACAGTTGCAGATTTTGTGGTCAGAAGTGATAGGTTTACACTTGATTAGTTGGGCTTTACTAACAAGCATCTCAATACTGACCTGATGTGATCCTATATGGCATTTAGAGAACTTTCATCTATTGTGGTAAAAGGAAGGTACACTGTTAAAATGGGCTAAATAAACTTCCATCAATATGTTTTGAAAAAAGAAAAAAAGATTCTGTGCATTCCGCTTCTTCAGCAGCTAACAAAATCCAGTATTTTGGCCAATAAAGCCTTCATTCCTGGTGTCTGTTTTGGATTGAATGTTGATTTTTTTTTTTTTTTTTTTTAAATCCTCCTTCACTGATTCATTAAGTAGAGTTTATGTAACTATCTTCTAATGCAATTTTTAAAGCAGAAAATTTTTCTTAATCTTAATTCTGCTTTCCATAGAGAGCAGAATGACTCATCTAACTTCCAGTAGTGTAGGTCCTCATGTGGGTACAAGGTCTGCCTAGGTATAGTGAGATGTACGGCCTGCACCCAGGGATCATGTGCCAATAGCCTCCTGCAGTAGGACCATCTCTGGAATGTCTTAGTGTACTCCTTGCCTCCATGGTAAGTTTGGATGGAGGATGGAGGAGAAGGCAGACCAATAGAAAGATTCTATATATAAGGGTAGTTGTCTTTGACTAGTTCTGGTGACTTTAAACCTATTTTGTGCCACATATTTAACAAGTGGAGGATCCTGGTCTTTGATAGCTGATGGCTTGCTATTACTCTTTGAAGTGAGAGGCAACATTGAATTTTGCCTATTGTGTTGAGTAAGGCAGACGCAATTTTGTTAAGGTTTGTGCATTTTGTAGAGTCTGCCAAATAACAGTTGTAATAATAGTGCTTCACATCCTTAGACTGCTGTAAAAACGTTAGTTAATATATTAATGAGATGATGACTGACTTGGCTCCGTTTTATACTTTATCATGTCTGCAGTAATGAGAAGTCAAGCACAGCTAGCATCAGAAATCTGTAGTTTCAGCTCCGCAGTGGTTGTGCTGAGGTTTAGGTTGGAAAAGGGGACCATACAGTGATTAAAGTGTAAAACAGGGGAACTGAATGTCCAAACAGTTTATTGAAATGCTACTTGATACTGTGTTTGTTTAAAAAGTAATCAATAGTTATTTTTATAAAGTTTAAGTATTATTTAAAATACAGGTAAACAGTGGAAGAATAGAAACTATTGAGCTTGACTGTAGGATACACTGTGTTCTCATATGAAGATCATTAGGTTTTTTATGTTGTGGTAGTGCTGGATAAAGTCTCTGGAGGAGAAACTGGTTTTTTCATATATAGGCTAAGCCAGAAACCTGGGTTAGCTGTTCTGTTTTCACTTACTGGATGCTGTCATACTACAATGTATCAAAATGGAGGTTTCTTTTTTTAAAATCATACAATGCGAAGACTTGTGGCTCCATTTTTCTAACATGGTATTAAATTGATTTGTTCATCTCTTCTGTCTTAATTTTATTCATGGAATACACAGATAATGATTGCAAGCTGATGAGGAAATAATACGTGCGAAAGATGTGTGTTTGTTATGCTTGTTCTTTACTCGAGAGCTGCAAGTTTCTTCAGTTCTTAGAAGGTTAGTTGGTAGGTTTATTTTGAAAATGAAAAATGGACGAGTCTAGGATGCTCTTTTTTTAAGTATAGAAAGGATGTCATTTGTGTCTAGTGCATGTCTAATACAGTTTCTGATAAAGAATTGTAGCCTGACTAGTATTCTAATGTTTTTGATATTTTCTAGAACGCAGCCAAAAACAGTTTTTGCAGAAGTGGAACCAGAAGATGATGAAACAGACAAGCCAGAGTGGAAAAAACGTAAAATTTGAAAAATTTGATTTAAAGAATATTTTTAGAGCATTTGAAACAAAGTGCAGCATTTATTTCTTTATTATGGCTAGAGGATCAAAATTTGAAAGCAAAAATTACTTCCAATTCATGAAACTTGCTGCAAAGTAAAAAGAGATTGCTGTATTACACTGGATTGTAATCCCACATCTGAATTTTGTAATAAGGAATGAATTACATTGTGCAAAAAACTCCTTTCTGTGTCAGTTATTTAGCTTAATGATTTAAGTGGAAAATACTTCTTTATAAATAGAATTCTAGTGAATTCATGATATTGCCAAATGTTTTTTTAATTACTGCCAACTTTACAAATGCTGTGTCATGAGAGTGTTCAATGCTTTTAAGTATATAAATAAAATAATACAATTTCTCAGACTCCTTTTTATTTTTTCTAGTTAAGCCCTAACAAATTACCCCCTTTGTTACAAATGCAACAAAGTTTACACTTTTATTTAGATTAATTAATGTGGAATAATCCAGTTTAGTTCATTTGTGTGTTCACACAAGTTCCAATTTAGTTCACACTTCTGTGTGAATTCTAGAAAACATATTTTCTAGTGTCTAGCCTTATCTGAATGATATTCCTTTTAAATATGTGTAGTATCTCACAGTAGTATTTTATACAGCTTTTATTTTTCAGCAATGTGAAATTGGAATGGACAATTATGTATTTTGGTTTAATAAAAATAACGTGTTTATTGCCTAGTTGATGCAGAATTTTGTTCAGGCTTCCTATGGCTATTAGTTTGTATTAACAAGTGTTAGGATAGAGCAGAGCTGTGTATTTATTATCACGTCTTTGTATCTGTTGACTTTGTTGTATGCCTGAATTATGTATATCCTGCCTGACACTTTCTGAAGACTGATACTGTCCTTTATAAAATGGTTTCTTAAATATTGGAAGTTTTTGTTGTTTAACACAAATTTGCAATTCTGAATGTCATAAAATGAAGGACAGATTTAAAACTAATGTCCTTTACAGAATGAGAAGGGAACCTGGGTTTGTTTTAGGCATTTATATTGTGATTATAGTAATATGCAATATGTTAAGTGTTCTGATTATAATAACATACAACAAAGCAAGCACTCTACATTTCCACTAAGAGAGTAGTAGATATCATAAACAATCAAGCATTCTTAATTATGAATATATTCTGAAGGTTTATTTCAAGGCTATATTTAGTAAAGCACCTAATCACCTTCCTAACCTCAAGTGTATGGTCCTGATAGTCAGCAGAGCCTAGTTTGTTTTTTTTTTTTTAAGTGTTATTCTGCATCACTATTTCATTGTATGATTTCCTTTTCCAAGCTTATCTTTCTTTTTCAGTTACCATTTTTATACTTCCGGGAAAAGTAAGCCTGACTTCAAAAGGTGTGATGAGCGTTGGCATAACATTCCCACAACAAAATATTTCTGCTGCTTTCACTCAGTCTAGTCTTTTGGTAAGAGTGGCACTTCACTAAATAATCCTCAACTTGTCTTTGTCCCTTGTAAAAATATACTTATGTAGAATAGCAAATCAATGCTTAATTTGCAATTACAGCTGTAATATGTAGAATGAAGGACATAAATACCTAGGTGAACAGTAAATGGAGGAGAAAAAGAAGTACCAGAGGAAGAGCAGCAGTTGTTAACAAGACCTGCTGAAGACCTCCATAATACAATGTCCCCTTCAGCAAATAAACATTAAATGGTATTGTTTCATTTAAGGCTATTTTTTGTTTGTTTGTTTGTTTGTTTTTTGTCCAAATAATGCACTACAAAATATTTTCAAATACATTTCTATAAAACTTTGAATAGGATTTTAAAGGTTTAATATGTCCTTGGTTTTAGGCTGAATATTAACAGTTTAGACATTCTATTGTTAGTTGTTCATTGAGGCAGCGTGGCTTAAGGAGCAGAGCTGCAGGGAAAGGCAGATGAGGAAAAATGCTATAGCTGTTCTCTGATCTTGAAGGGAGATTCTGCTTTTGTATTTATTCATATCAGCTAGATCTTGTTTCATAATTCTTAGAAGAATGAGCTCTGTAAGTGAACTCTGCAAAAGTTCTGTTAGAATTTCTCTAAGGGTTTGTCATTGTTACTTACAGTGATTAATTGTCTTGAATGACTGTTTTAGCAGCCTAGAATTTAAAACAGTGCCTGTGCAGATACATATTAAAAGATTTAAAACTAACTTAAATTGTACTTCTAGTTTAACTCTTGACTTGGTTTGTTTGCCATCCTTATACTGGATTTTCAGGCATGTTCACCAACAAGGCAAATCTTAACACATTTTTAAAAGCAGTTTTTAATCTTGAACAGCTCAATGATCAGAGTTAATCCAGTCAGGAAGGAGATAGGAACAGTCTGTTTGGCCATACTTGGGACAGCAGACTCTGACTCAACCCTTTGAATTGTCCTGGGAAAAATCTTAACATTAAAAATATTAACATGATTAAGTATTTGATATGAAAGATGGAACTGTGCATGCAAACTGGAATATTAGAAACTACACTTGTATTAATTTTTTATGAACTTAATTTTCTTTTAAAGTTCACAAAGGACCTAGGTTTTAGTGATTGCCAAGCTGTAATCTTGGTCATCCATGTGTCCTTATTTAGTGTTAATGTGGCCGGAGTCCAGATGAACTTTTGTTTCCATATTTCTGAAACAAGGTAGGCTTTTGTGTTTGCTTGCTTTCTTAGAAGACTTACTTACAGAGGTGCCACAATCATCACTAGCATTTTGGCATGCAGAATGGCTTCCATGGTGCTTTCTCCAAACCTGTATTTTTCTCTCCATGTTCTCTGCAGCTTCTAGATATTTCTTTCTGGCAGTTTATGATCCTTTGTCGTTTGTGCTAATGACTAGTTAAGACCAGCTGTTAAGTACTACATACCTGTCCATAGGACCAAGGCTTTTCCTGCAAAATCGTTGCAGCCCACCAGCTATTGGTCGGCCTGTTTTCCAATTCCTTGTCTGTATTGCTGCCATTGGTACAGAGGTCTTAATTTGACTCTGTAGCCCTTTGTCTTGTCCTATCCTCGGTATTCCTTTGTCCTGTCTTATTTTTTAAGTCTTCTGCAACAAGTAAGAAGATTGCTAAGGCTGTCTTTGAGTCTTGGCACTTTTCCTCTGGCTGTTTGCAACTACTTTATGATTGTTTAAATTCCTCTCTGGTCTACTTCCTATCACCTGTAATTTACTGAAGATGACACTTTTGCCTCTGGTTTTTGTGGGTGATAGCAAGAACTGTGAATTTGTGCCCAGAGGCCCTTGAGTCATCAGCTCTGTGCTTATAATTATGTGCCTAGTTCGATGTTCTTTGTCACGCCTGTGTTTTCTTTGTTTGGCTGTAGAACAATACGTATTATGGGAAGAGAAACTGTGAATCTTTATCCTGTCAGTTCAATCTCTGCTGGACCCTGAGGAGTGTTTTGCAGTGAGTGGCATTACTGAGCCGAAGTGCCATCCTCTTGATTAGATCTTTATCCACTAGTTTCTTTGATGTCTGATGCCTTTGGGGGTGTCCAGCTTGAGGCATTTGTAGCTCACATCCTCCTTTAATACTGAATCATTTGAATTTTGATGTGGCCTGTTAGTCACAATAGTATTGCAAAATCCCTCTTCTATTTCCTTGTCATGTTAAATGCCTATATGTCTTCCTAGCTACTTCTCAGCAATAGGAACTTACTGAAAGCCCTACACTTACCCTAATTAAAAATCAGCAGACTTTTTCTGACTTTTTGCCACGGGTAGGCTAGGATTTTCTGTCCCCCGTTGTTGATCCCTGAGCTCTTCTCATCTGTTGAACTGTTCCATGCTTACATGTAAATGAAGAGTTGGATAGTTGGCTAGCAGAGATGTCTTCATGCTTGCCTGGCGATGAAGCATAGATGCATCTTATTACATCAGTTTTTAAATCTTCTAGGATTTTTGGCTAATCCCATTTAAACACAATTTTGTATACAATATGCAATCCATCCATCCTCTGGGACTCCAGCATCTAATTGCTTCATGCAGTCTGGATAGCTCTGAAACACAAGATATTTCTCTGTCTGTAGCATATCATCCTGGCTGAAATTTGCTTTGGTTGTCAAAGCTTCCCATCCTACTTGTAAACGTATTGGAGCATGCTTACGGTCTCCCACTTTGGCAGCAGCGTGTTATACTCAGATCAGCTTGTTGGAATCTCCATAACCTATGTGATGCTTGAGTGCCTTGGCAGTAGTTTATGATTTTTTTTTCAATGTCTGATGATGAGACAGTATGTTCATCTTGTGCTCTGAGAGATGATTCGAAATAAGTGTGATTCAGAAAGCAAAGCATAGCCAATAAGTTTGTGGTTTGGTTTTGTTTTTTTTTTGCCTTAGCTGTCATGCAGGGCTGTTGTGTGTCAGGGCTAGTACTTACAATTTTTCTTACTATGTCAAAGAAGTGTTCCTGCAGGCTCTGGCCTTTTTTGTTGTTGTATCCTGAAACAGTACATGCAACAGATTAATACCTGCAGTAGATAAACTGGACTAGATGGATCCTTGAGAAGTTATGTAGTCCATTTTTGACTTAAATTACAGCTATACCTGAACCAGTTGTGGCACATTTATTGGATCAGCTCTTTTAACGCTCCCATGGTACACACTGCACAATCTCCCTAAACAGTCTGTTCCAATGCTTCATTCTTCTTAGCAGTAGAAAATCTTTCATAGTTTCTTAGAAAAACATTCTTGCAACAATTTAAGCCCATTATTTCCTATCCTGTTCCCAGCAGCCAAGGAAGTCAGTTTATGATGTTCCCCTTTGCAGCAGCTTTTTATTATGTTTGATTTTTATTACCTTCTCCTGTCTCCTTATTCTTTCAGTTTTCCTTTATGGTTTATGTTTTCTGGCATATCGTCATTTATTTGCTTTTCTCTGCCTTGTTGTGATTGTCCACATTTCTTGAAGTGTGCTGTCCACAATGTATTCAGTGTTTCAGATGAAGCTACCTTTTTAGCACTACGAGTAAACAGGAAAAATGTTTGCATGTCTTCTTACAGTCACTTTTTTCTCTGCAGTTTGGCATTACAGGTTTGTGTTCAGGTCCTAATCCCCTTCAAACTCCAGAACCTCCACTGCAAAGCTGCTGCCCAGCCAACTCACTGTCTAGTGGTTATGTATTATTCTTAAGTATTGGATTTTGTCCTTTGTGCTGAATTTCATTGCATTTTCTCAAAATGTATCACCATTTTGTTCAGATTATTTTTAATTTTCTTTTGGCTCCAAAGTGCCTGTAACTTTTTACAGCTTCTAGTTGTCAGCAGATGTAATGAATGTATTCTTTGTTCATTCAGCTAAGCCACTATTGAAGTTGGTGGTTAGTGGCAAATCCATAAGGTTTCCCATATGTATGGAAG